TGGTTTAAGGACCATGGTATCCCTGTTCTTAATTGGCCAGCAAACTCACCTGACCTTAACCCCATAGAAAATCTATGGGGTATTGTGAAGAGGATGATGCGAAATGCCAGACCTAACAATGCAGAAGAGCTGAAGGCCACTATCGGAGCAACCTGGGCTCTCATAACACCTGAGCAGTGCCACAGACTGATCGACTCCATGCCACGCCGCATTGCTGCAGTAATTCAGGCAAAAGGAGCCCCAACTAAGTATTGAGTGCTGTACATGCTCATACTTTTCATGTTCATACTTTTCAGTTGGCCAAGATTTCTAAAAATCCTCTTTGTATTGGTCTTAAGTAATATTCTAATTTTCTGAGATACTGAATTTGGAATTTTCCTTAGTTGTCAGTTATAATCATCAAAATTAAAAGAAATAAACATTTGAAATATATCAGTCTGTGTGTAATGAATGAATATAATAGACAAGTTTCACTTTTTGAATGGAATTAGTGAAATAAATCAACTTTTTGATGATATTCTAATTATATGACCAGCACTTGTAGAAAGATCGCAGCCGTGTCAAATTCAGTGCTTCCTCCTCAGTGGATGCCACTGGCCAAAATGGCTGCTACAGTGAAGGTGTAGTTCATGGGCCCCATAGCGCTCCATCATGGCCACTGGGGATAAATATGTACCCCACACACACATTAGGTGGCATGAGAGGAACTGTTTGACAGCACCAATGTTCTGGGTCTCACCGTTTATTAGCCATAGCCTGTCAAGTTGTTCACTTTGAAGATCTGAGGTTCAATAAAATACCTTTTACTGTGTGAAAATATATATAAATAAACAAACAAACAAAGCTTAAGCACGGAAGAGATGAGTGCATAGATAAGGTACACCCTTAGACCTCATGTCTTTTGAATGCCACTTGCTCAGAGAGGAACATTTTAGTGAGCGGTGCGATCCCCGTCTGTCATACCAGCGAGATCATCACTGAAATTGTTCTGGAAAACAGACCAGTCATCTCAGAGGCGTTGGCAAGTCTTTATGCTAAGCTAGGCTAATATGACCTGACCAGCAGATGGTTTGTTGCACAGATTCATCTGAGAAGCTGTCATTGGAAATAGTTTTGAAAGGGGCAGACACTTTAAAACATAAGTGACAGGTGATGGGAGGAAGCGTCTGTCAATCAAACTCCTAACAAAGCGAGTTAGGAGGAGAGTGAAAAAGGTTTTTCCATCTAGAAATATAAAATTTCTGATCAAAATCTCATGTTGATAAAAAAACACTTTAAATCTTCCTACCATAGTATCAAACCATAGTGTGCGATAATGACAAAAATTGTTTTACATTACAATTTTTCATTTTCCAGTGAGAAGTTCTTTGTGTTGTAGAACCATTGAGGTGCTGTTTTAGTAGTTCGGTGCGATGCCTGCGATACGTCCAATCCTCCCGCGCCAACACTGTTTGTTTTTGATGTTGATTAACCTGCTCGCCTCAAGTTCACACACAAGTTAAATATAAAACATCAGATAATATTGGTGTCTCCAGTGTTTAAATACAACATTGATTCACAAACCATTTAGTACGCGAACAGTAAAAAAAAAGCCATCCCCGGTCCTCTCAGGTCATCAAGAGGTCCCAGCGCCTGGACCATGTTTTGGCTCGTTTGGACCCTCAGGCTGCCAATCAACACTTTGCATCTATCCAGCGCTGGAGAGCAAAGAGAGAGGTGGCAGGTCCGCGGAGAGGTAGATAACAAAGTTTATTTTGACACTAAAGTTATCTTATATCTGATATGAGATCTGTTGGATTTCTAATCAAGTTTCAGATAAATATTTAACTTGACTGACTAACTACACTTTAGTATCCACTCATTTTAATGTGTTTGTTTGTCATACTGAATGTTTGGTAATCTATGTAATTCAGAATAGGAGTTTCTAAAATTCCATAAATCCCTTTGTGGTCTAAAATCCCACTAGTTCAGTAGCAGGTCAATAATGTAATTAGGAGAATACATGAATTGGACAATGAAATGTTGCATGCTATATTTGTACCTATGTGAATATTTGTCGTGTTATATTTGTGTATATGTGTTTTAATCTCTCGTCAGGAGCGTTCTTGCTGTTTTCTCAGAAGAAGCTTCCCAAACTGAAGCAGACGGAAGAACGAACAGAACCAGATGCCTACTGCAGAAATGTTGCTGAATCACAGGTATCAACATTTAGAAAAGATGTGGCAGTTTCCTAGATGTTGACACACACTCTCCAGCCTCAGTGCATACAGACCGCTGACCTTTTAACCTCCTCTGACCGAGCTGTACTTCTGAACTCCACTCCCTCCGCAGCTCTTCAAACAGTGGCGTTCTCTGGAAGAATCCAGCAGGTCGAAATACATCAGGAAGACGTCCCGCTGCCCCGAGCCCTCCCTGGGCCTGTTGAAGCCCGACGTCTGCTTCGGCTCGGTATCGGAAAACTTCCACAACATCACGGAAAATTACCTCCAGAACGAGGACAGGAGGAGCCGAGACAGCGTGGACACCCACAGGTACAGACTGGGCGAAAAATACAAATTCTATAAAATGTATTACAACTTAATGAAGCCGAGAAATGTTACGAACTGAAGTACATACCTCGCTCAATTCTCGCTCTCGCTCTCTGTGTCGTCAGCCTCCGGCAGCTGTTGCACTACAAGTGGCAGCGCTCGCTGTGTGATCCGGGTGAAGCGGTGGGTCTGCTGGCGGCTCAGTCCATAGGCGAGCCCTCCACCCAGATGACCCTCAACACCTTCCACTTTGCCGGCAGAGGAGAGATGAATGTCACTTTGGGAATACCCCGGTAACGTCTCCTCTCTTCCCCTTTTATGTACAGATGAACACATTATCATGACTCTTAGAACAGGCGGAAAAATAAGAGTCGCATGTCGGCTGTTGCGTTGGTCTCGGCTTTGGTTTCACCGAATAGGAAAAATAAATGTGTGAAGCAAAAGTTGTGGTATGAGCATGCGTGAGTAGAGTCTAATGTGTGACAGTTTGGAGCTCTGCAAATGTCCCGGCAGGACTGTTCTGGCGTTCCTTTCGTCATATTTGTCCTCTTATGTCTCACTCTCTTGAAATCCGTCTACCTGTCTCGCAGACTGAGAGAGATCCTGATGGTGGCCAGCTCCAACATTAAAACTCCCATGATGAGCGTCCCAGTGCTAAACACCAAGAAAGCCTTGAAGAGGGCCAAGACACTCCGTAAGAAACTCACCAGAGTCTGTCTGGCTGAGGTAAGGATCTGCTTCTCTTGCCTCTTTTTGTATTCTTTCTTTTCCTCATCTATTTTTCTCTTCATCTCGTCTTTTATTTTCGTCGTGTGTTTTTTTTGTTGTTTTATGATGCCAGCACTTGTTCCTTTCTTCCCTCCTGTCTGTCTCTTCTTTTATCTCCTCGTGCATTTGTTGTGATACTCATTGTGCTTTGAGATGTTCCTCACCGGTGTGCTTTACCCAAACCTTTGCATTTGAGAGGTGTTGTGGAATTAAAAAGAGGAACTCACCACAACTCTGTTTGTTGGTGTGTGTGGGAGCAGGTGCTGCAGAAGGTGGATGTGGTAGAAACTTTGCGCATCGAAAGTCACCAAAAGCTGCAGTCATTCAAAGTCTCCTTCCACTTCCTGCCACAAGAACGTTACTGTGAGGATAAGCTGCTATCACCCCAACAGATCCTCCGCTACATGGAAACTAGGTGTGTGTGTGTGTGTGTGTGTGTGTGTGTGTGTGTGTGTGTGTGTGTGTGTGTGTGTGTGTGTGCGCGTGTGCGTGCGTGTGCGCGTGTGTGCTGTTACCAGAATCCAGTAAGAAATAACCTGATATTAACTTGTTTGTCCTCCCAGATTTTTCCGTCTCCTGCTCGAAGCCATTAAGAAGCGCAGTGCCAAATTGGCGTCCATTGCCGTAGAAACAAGGAAGGCCACCCCCGGAGATAAGGACCATGATGGCGAGGGAACAGCTGAGCCAGCAGGGGTCTGTTTTTCATTGGCTTGCCTTTGTTTCAGTGTTCCCTACACTCTAAACAATTTCACCGTAAAATAACGGTAACTTACTGGCAGCGAGGACGCCAGTAATTTTTACGGTGAAAGTACCATCATTTACTTTTACCGTATCTTACAGTATACTGGATTACGGTATGTGATAGTGGGATAAATGGGTTTTACTGTGATTTTTGCGGTATATGCCAGACTGTTACCGTTTATTTACAAAGGGTTATACAACCCAATCATTTTGCATTTATTTCCCATCAAAGAATAACAATATACGTACATTCAATACATAATTGTTGCAGTTTAATACATGTTTTCAAGACAAATAATGAAGGGATATTTGTATTACATCACAAAACTCACAATGTACTGCATGTTTAGAAGAAAACAAATAAAATCTTTAATGACCGGCTTAACTGAACTCATGAGGATAACCGCAGACCAGTAGCGCCGAGATCGAAAAGTGGCCGATGGTATGCTACTGTTGTTCAGCAGTATGTACTGAGAAGGTGTACAGCCTAGCTGCGTAACCGATACCCCCTCCCGTTGCTCTCGAAGCACAGGGAGACGGCTTGTTCAATAACCTCTGACCTAGGTAACGAACGCAGCCCCCAAAATCAACACGCGAGACCGTCTCAGTCCGCTTAGGGAGGCGAAAACCAGGATAGCTTAATACCACAAGCCACCGTCGTATCACTTATTTCAGCCTAAAACGTCGTGATTGATTAAACAATTTTTGTATCGATTATTTTAATAGAAAAATAGAGAGAGAGGTTCTTGGGGTGTGGTGTGTCTCGGAGATTCATGGTGGATATCTCAACAGTACCTATCCCTGGAGTAGTATGCTACTGTTCAGTGGTAGGTACCTGTCCCTGGAGTGGTATGCTACAATTGTTCAGCGGTATGTACCTGTCCCTGGAGTGGTATGCTACAGTTGTTCAGTGGTATGTACCTGTCCCTGGAGTGGTATGCTACAGTTGTTCAGTGGTATGTACCTGTCCCTGGAGTGGTATGCTACAGTTGTTCAGCGGTATGTACCTGTCCCTGGAGTGGTATGCTACAGTTGTTCAGCGGTATGTACCTGTCCCTGGAGTGGTATGCTACAGTTGTTCAGTGGTAAGTACCTGTCCCGAGAGCAGAGATGGGCAGTATTTCTATTACTTGTATTTAAAATACGTATTTCAATTACTTTTGAGTATTTTGTAATTTGTATTTGATAGGGCCGATAAAAAATCGAACGTAATTTGTGACAAAATACTTTAGAGTGGAGTAATTTTGTATTTAAAATACTCAAAATACTGTGCACGAATCAAAAAACAGTTCACAAGTTCAGTCTTCAGATCTTTGAGTTCAACGGATTGTCTGTCAAGATAAATATTTTACCTGAGTGTGACAGATGTCAACTAGCTTGATGTATAATTGATGTCTGGGTCTGGCTATTGTGTATACATGGTGATGGTTATAATATTAAGCTAGCGATCGATGCTAACATGCTAATGACGCTAGCATGCTGTTTAGGCTAGTGCATAGCCAGTGTTTAGCAAGTTAACTTATCAGTCGAGTAGCTGGCTATATAGGAAGAGGGAGATTGGGAGCTTATATGTTCATGGTAACCTTATCAAGAGACGTCTGACCATCTAATCTTGCACTGTATTACAATTTATGCTGTATCTTCTCAATGTGAATGTCATAATGCCATATCAATTACTGGCAGATAATATAGTTCACAGTTAGCCAGGCTATGACAGTAGATGTCCATTTGTTAAAAAAAACATTAAATATCCAATTTATTTTATTTAAAAGGCATATTATGAAAGTATTAGTTTTATTATGTCATACATTCTACAGTTGGCCAGGTGGACAACATGTCTGTGACTATTCATCCTTTTGTGGGCTTCACCAGAGCTTTGTGTACATATAGCCCAAACCTGAATGCTCTGCTATACCAAATTGTGAAAATCCAGAAAAAAAGTATTTCCTATATTTTAAATACAAAATACATGTATTGTATTTTGTTACATTTTCTGGCACCAGTGTTTTGTTTTGATACATTTATTTGAGGGGTATTTTGTATCAAAATATATTTTGATGTATTTTTGCCCATCTCTGCCCGAGAGTAGTATGCTACAGTTGTTCAGTGGTATGTACCTGCCCCTGGAGTGGTATGCCAGTACTTTTCCAATGGCACTCTGTTTGCTGAAGTGGTAGCTGAAGTGGTAGTCCTCTGTCAGACTTGATGGATATGCACATTTAATGTAAATTGGTTTGATTCACGAACAGTGATGTCGTAAATGTATTTTTTTGACTTTATTGACAAAGTAGCGCAGCGTCTTAAATAAAGGAATGTATCAATTTTATCTCGTCCATTTTCATGGACCACAATGGACTAACGTTCAACACTAAAATTAGTTTGATCTGGTGTTAATGTTGCTCCTGGGACAACACACACGTAACGTTTCTGTTAATTTAACTTAATTCATTGTCTTGAACACGTCGGCGATTTCTGGTCCCCTCTCCATTTTGATAATCGTCCCGTTTGCGGTCCTACAGTCGGTTTAATAAGAACACAAGTTAGGTTACTAATGTTACATCTAAAAACTGTAATTGGTGATTAACTTTATTTATGTTAACTTGTTATGCTGTTAGCTAGCTAACCTTTCTAAGGCTAATTGAGCTCGAGCTAGCTAATGTCACAAAGCTAACCTAATGTAATGAAACAGACAAAGTATAACATCTGAGATGTTAGTTCAATAATCATGAAGACAAAACAATACTGGGGACTAAGCATAAATTACATCGGCTCCTCGGTTAATCTCCACATGGCTCAGAAGGATGAACTGAAGCTGTGCTCCAAAGTCACGTTCAGGAGCAGTCGGTCACGTCTTGTCACTCAAAAATGACTTGTAGGCAATGAACAGTTTGAATAATAACAACTATTCTATCATTACAGATACATTAACCTACAATAGACAGTACGATGTAGATGGATTGTGATTCACTGAACTTGTATAGAGAAGAGTATATCCACCACTTCACAGAAAATATTGTATTATGCTGATTAATTATAGTAGTCTGCTGTTATGGTTAACTGACGGCATTAACTGTTCATTTTCATGCAAGGGATGAACATTTAACTGTATGTTACCATTATTATGAAATACTGTAAGATACCGTTTTAAATCCACTGTAAATTTACAGCAATTCATTATGGTGTCTGTGATATTTTGGATTGGTGTAGTCGCTCATGTTGTGCATGTTTTTACCTGAACGTTTCTTTCCTTCCCTTGGAAATCCTTGTCATGTGGTACTCATCAGTTGGATGACGGGGAGGAAGAAGTGGAGCGAGAGGTTGTTGATGACCAGGCGAACGAAGGAGACGCCGATGCTTCAGACGCCAAGCGAAAAAACAAACAGGAGGAGGAGGTATGAAGACGGGTGAAATACTTTGTGTTAAATAACAATATCGTGTAAAAGCACAACCCCTTGATGTTCCCGGATTTGGAAAGGTCAGACGTCTCTTGAACTTTCACTTAATTAATTTGCTGTGAGCTACTGATCTAATCTCAACATCCCATAATTTCATAATAGACATTTAACAAGACTATTAGTCCGCAGCCATGCTACTGGCTCTGTGATGCCGTATTTAGGAACGGTGATGCTAACGTCGCCGTACTAACACGCTAATAACTTGTTGCTAAATAGCGCCAAACACAAAGTGCAGCTGGAGTTGATTGAAATGTCATTAGTTTTGCAGTTATTTCATCAAAAACCAAATGCATGAACAGGATGATGGTGGTAGGTGAACAATTGAGGGATAACCAAAGTTATTTAAGTTCATCGTCATGAATGTGTGTACCACATATGGCAGTACATCCGGTTGTTGTTACACCCAGAGCATGGTGGCACCAGAGGAAATATATCAGCAAGTTTATTAGAATACTATGAATGTCTCTGCATCATTTTGTGCCAATCCATTTCGTAGATGTAAAGAAATGTATAATTATATGGAGGAAAAGTCGGGTGATCACCAAATCAGTAAGACTCCTCCTCTGGGGACCATGAACAGGCCATTCTTAGAGTAACGTGGCCTAAACTGGCGTGGCTAACAATCTGAAGAAGCTGTGTTATTTCTGACAGAAACACAGTCTAGACTGCTGCTTGAATTCCCTCTTCTTCTTTTTTACATTTCTCGTTCTGAGCAATGTATCAAGTACCTCTTTTCTTTTAAAAGTCCTCTTCACACAGGAGGCGATGCTTTCATGTATCTTTGTTTGATATCATACTAGAGTGAGTGGATAAATAGGGTAACTGCTAATCTAGTAATGTAATTTGAGGTACTACGTGCTCTATGTATATACAGTATATATATGTTTTTTTATTTAAAAAAATGTTTTCCTCAAATAAATAAATTAGCCATAGCCTGTCAAGTTGTTCACTTTGAAGATCTGAGATTCAATAAAATAAAATAAAATACCCTTTAACCCTCTTAAGTGTGGAAAAAAAATAATATATATATATAT